ACAAGTACAATCCTACAATGTTTAAAGTTTTTACTGATGTGATGCTAAATTTAATGATCCTTTAATAGCTAACTGATGTTTTCCTCCTGTCCGCCTGCAGCCGTGCTACCACAAGGCCAGAACGTGGCTGCTGGACAACATCCCGTCTGTGCTGGTGTTTGGAGTCTGTATCGGAGTCGTGCAGGTTCTTATCTCCTATACTTATTCCTCATTTCTTTCCTTTTTTCTTAAATTTTTGTCATAAGCTGTTCCTTTACGTCTGGCAGGTTGACGTGAGCTCCATTTGCAAGGATGTTAAACCATTTATTCACCGTTAAAAACACACCAGAAGGACAGATACAGTCGCATTTCTGAATTCAGTGATTCAATCTACATGAGTCTGTTAAATACAACATACATGCCTAAAGAGCAAATTAATTTTCTGTTTAAAGCTGTCCATTTAATTTTTGCACAAAATACGGATCAAATCTTTCAGTGTGATGCCTGCAGAAACACCTTTACAGCGTCAGTATCACTCATTGTCGGTTCCCATTGAGAGCCTTCAGTGCTCAGCGATCTGAGGGTCGGAAATAAGAATTTAATATTAACAATAATAAGTTGATCAGAATCTTAAAACGATTACTCAGATCTCAGTGATGAACCCTGTGATGTCCAGGATGTTCTCAGCTTCAGGTTGTGACTCTGCTGGATAAAGTGTGTGCAGCCGATGGATGGACGGTTCATTTCTTCTTCTTCTCTCCTCAGATCTTGGCCCTGGTCTTCTCCATGGTGATGTACTGTCAGATTCTCTGCACCGAGAAACACATGGACTGACTGAACACTCCTGACCACAGCTTTTGAACTCACACTTGGTTCAGAGCGAAACCTTTCGCGGTTACAAATTTCCCTTAGTTCCTCCCAAAACAAACGACCAGAAGCAGACATGTTGGTCAGTAAAATCCTCAGAGTCTGTATGAAAAGGATTGAGTCAGTTATTTCCATACTAATGTAAATATGCAAACATGCTGGATATTAAAACGCACTAAATTATCTTTATGTCCTTGATTCCCAACACCTTTTTAATATGTTCTACATCTTTAGACAGCAACAAAACAGACGCTAATAAAACATCAGCTTTAAATGAAGTTGATCCATGAACCTCTTCACATCTGAACATTACAGTCTGTTGATGTTAAAGTTCACATCCCCATAGCTTCAAGTATATTGGTTCCAGAGTAGCTGATTTAATAGTACGCTAAATTTGTTCCAACTTACAATTATCTTATTTCTGTGTCATGAAACAAGAAGAAAGGGAAATATACCTGTATTTACGATTCATAATTTCAGTATTTGGATTTTATTATTCATCCAGTCAAGAAGAAAAAGACGAGTTAAGACTCTTCATAACCTGCTGGTTCAGTTTGTGTTAAGACATGATTTTGACAAGTAGGTCAACTGTAAAAAGGAAAAAATACTAATAAAAAAGATTTTATATGTAGCACTAAGTTCACTTTGTTCCTACTTTCCTTCCTTGTACATTATTCCTGCGACATTTGAGCACTTTGAACTGATTTTACAGACGTTCACTGCTCCAGTTTTATTCTATTTCATATAATCCTCACTGTAAAATAAAACCTTTGAAATATTCCTTTAGTAGCTCAAGGTATTTCTTTGTCTTTACGTATCACATGTTTATCCAACTTTACCTTTTCACTGGAGTATTTAGTCATTTGAATCTTATCATGGAGACCGAATTGTGTTGTCAGAAGGGAAAAGGGTTTATTTTCCAGGTGAAAGTGGTCCCGCACCAATAAAACTGAACCTACGCAACAGAAATTAAACGCCCACTTGAATGGTGCTGAAATCATTCATTGGATGTAATTTAATTTTAGCTGAACTGGGAACGAAGAACTTTTTATGCTTAACAAAGAGCTTCAGTCTGATAAAGCTCAGCGTCACTGTTCAGTTTCATTCACATCAACCAGCTTTACATTTTAAGATCACTTTCAAACTTTATCTGAAATCACGCTGCTATTTGTATATCTGCAGTGTTCCAGTGTGTCCTAACACACATATATTCTGGTCGACTGACAGACTGAGCGCATTTTAAGATTGTCGAACAGAAAGCAGCTCTGGTCCTTTTTCATTATCAGCTGTTCTCCATCGTTTATGTCGGATTGTTTGCATCCAACGTCTGTTTTCTCCATCAGTTAAAAAGGACAAACACTTTCTGTCACGTTAACCTAGTATAAACTCCAAATGCTCCTAAAGCATCTAACAGAATGAGCTTCCGATTAAAGCTGAGGTTAGAAACAGACCGTGGAGTTGTCTTTAAAATCTTGTTCAGTACTTATGATCGTATTCGTGTGTAGTCTGGCTTTAGGTTTAGTTCTACATGATGTTCTGTTTCCCTGTTCATTCGTATTTGTTGTGATTTGCTGTAAATAAACAGATTTTGCATAAAGGACTTGATATCTTCTGTTGTTCATTTGATAAGAGAAACTGCAAACACAAATAATTGTGAAACTAAAACACCTTTTACTCTATGACAACGCAGATGTATTCAGCAGAGTCTAACTGCTGATCACACAAATAAAATTATTTGTACTAACCTTGCTGTTTATACACATATTTAGTGGTAAACATAGCTAGTTTGGGCTTTTCTACCTTAATGTTTAGATTTTTTACTATAGTTACATGTATATTACTTGTGTTTTTACTTGATCTTGTTTTACATTGTACTTATTATTTATTAGGCTTTTTTAAAAACCGGGACCTGAGAACCACAAACATGTAAATGTGAGCTGGCATGACAGTAAAGTTCCTTGAATCCTTGAATCCTTGAAACCGTATCTGACTGTAGCTTCAGTAAACATGTCCTTTGACAAAAATATACAAGATATAAATAAAACATACCATAAAAACATCGTTAGTCTTCAATTACATAAATGATTTTTTAAAAAATAGACCTGAAGACAAGAGCTCCTTAAAATTAGTGTTTATTGTTCACCTGCCAGTGGATGTGATGGTGATCAGCTGTTTGTCAGGTGGTTTGAGGCTCAGCTGACATTTGTTCACATTAGATAACAGATTGTATAAACCAGGAAGGCTGCAGTCGAGGAAGAACGGACATTAAAAGAACGCAAAATTAAATAGCCAATATTTAAAAACGGAACGGTTGAGAGACATGATCGCTACTTGACCACCAGTCAGCTACAAAACTGGATGACAGGAAGAGTCTCCACCATAAATAGTTTGTTCAATTACATTTTACAATCTAAACACAAGGAGGGAAAAGCAGGAAAGTGGTTCAACTTTCCCTGTGGTCTAATACAAATCTCGAGGTGAATGTCACTGTTGTGATATGAGCACAGCAGTTTACTTTATTCTTTGTACTTTATTACTTTATTCTTTCTTTTCCAGATATGAATCACAGGAATCTACTCCTGCAACCGGTAGAATTATTTCACTAAAAGGAATCCGAGATTAAAATGTCGTCTGTAAGGTCAGAACTGAGATCTGAATGTAAGTAGCCCACAAACAAACCTGAAGACACAGTTAGAACCGGCTCTAACTCAAATTAATCGACAGTTCGGGTAAAATAACTTAAGTAAACAAATAGCTTCTTCTTCTTCTTCTTCTTCTGTAAAACAAAATCCAGGTAGAAGGATTTTCCGATGCCCAGATTCACAAGAATCAAAGAACCTTCTAGAGTCCAGAAGACACTCTGCAGGACAGCAGAGCACAGTGCATCCATCTGTCTTCACGTTATAATCCAGAGCTCATGCTTCAGCTGGAATAACTAGACGGCTGGAGCTCAGTCGTACTCTGCGTGCTCCTCCAGAACCACCACGTTCTCCTGGAGACGGAAAATAATAATATTTAGAAGGTGGTTTCAACGTTCCACATGGTGAAAATCAATTTTTATTGAGTTTAGTGGGTTTTATTGAGTTGGAGGTGCCCAAAAAAAACCCTAAAAAGCCTCCCAGCATAGGAGCACTCCCTCACAGCTAACTGACCAATCGTCCTCAAACTCTGTGTAGCTCCGCCCCCTCACTGCCTCCAGGTGACCCAGTCACAATGAGCAGCTGCCTCACAGTCCACCGAGTTGATTTACTGTCCACAGCTGCTTCCGCTAAACTCTAAAATGTCTGAACCACAAACAAAACTCACCAAATGTTCTGCTGTAAGAGTGAACACACAAATGCTCACGCACTGACAGCATCTGAGGAACTGAACACTCAGCAGACAACTGTTTTTTTATGGTGATGTCCCCACAACAATAGGAGAATCCTTAGTGTTGGCGCATTGTGAAGCTAACGTGGCTAACGTTAGCGTGTGGAAGACATTCAGAGATGGCGGAAACTTTAACCCGATTTGAAACCTCAACTCCGCTGCTGTTTGCATCTCTGCTGCTGCTCTCATTCACATATTTTCCAGTTTCTGTTGTCAGACATGGAACGAGAATGAAACAAAGCCTTGAAACACTACATTACCCAGCAGTCACTGCTAATTTCTACGGACTTTATAACTGAACCATTGTCTGACAAACACATCATATACACAATGAAACATAACGTCTGTGCTGTGACTTCAGCGGTATTCTCATGTGAAAGGATCACTCAGGAAACGGTTGGGAGAGAGTTTCCTTCCTGTAGGGGGGCGTGGCTAGTTAATGCAGCACGTTGAGCTGGAAAACTGAAACTGAAAGACTTTAATGTGAAGCTGTGACTCACCCGTATATTTACAAAATGACACCACCCTGATCACCAGCTGATATGCAGCCAGTGGAAGACCTGATCAACTCACCCATCCTCCGTGTTTCTTCACCCATGGGGCAAAGTTCTCCATGTAGCACTCTGCAAAGCCCTGCATTCGCTGGGTTCCGGTGGCCGTGACTATCCGCCGCGACACCTCCATGGTGACCGCCATGCGTTGTAGCGTTGGACTGGCTGGCGGCGGCAGGACTGCTGCCGCGGACGCCTGACTGCTGCTGAACGTGTCCAGAAGTTTGGCAAACGACGGGTACGAAAGACGAGCCAGGCTGGTGCGCAGGAAGGGGTCCGACTGGATCTGTTAAAAGATGATGACTTAAACGTAAAACTGACACAAACACATGCGAGGAAAACTTGTATTTGTCTGGGTTTTGGGTTGGGTCGGTGATGTGAGCCGGTTTTGTTGCTCAACTGCGCAGGAGGCCGGACTCATTAATAAGTGAGTCTCAAATGTCCTAAATCAAAATTCTCCAGTCAAGACAATAATCTGCAAAATATTTGACGAATGAATAACGCAGTTCACACACCTGATGCTGAACCACCCACCTTAGTGTTGATGGTGTCGCCCTCCAGAGAAAGAACCTGAACCAGCTGCTGCACCACCGTCTCTTTATCACACACTGCTGAAAAACAAAACGTGTAGTTTACAGCCGGTTTCAGACTGACTGTAATCTGGACCCAGTAGCCATTTAGGTGAGAAGGTGCCTCCTGCTGGTACTGCTCCTACTGCACCAGCAGGACCAGTGCCAGGATCAGGTAAGACATTTCAGGTGGACACTGTTGTCTTCACCTAAGCTTTGTACGCTGTATTTAACCTTCTCTAGTAAAGTCCTTCACTCCTGATGCTCAGTGATGTGACAGAACTCACTGGGAACTTTGAAGCTGCTTTTAAACTCTGCGAAGCTTCCTGAATCTCGAATGTTTGTGGGGATGTGATCCACCTCCCCGCGGCTTTGACTGACATCTAGCAGATGTTCTACCTGCGACGTCGCTGCCTGAGCGGACCTGGTGTAAGATTATAAATCATTTTAAACATCAGGCTGCGTCAGAGTAGAAGAGAAAATGACTAAACCTGGGGATTTTTTAGGAAACTAATGACAAACTTCTGGCTTTAATACATCACTGTGGAACACATGCAAACTGCTGTTCTCGTGTTAGGAGTCAAGCAGAGTTAGTTAACCGCAGTAACGTTATTAGGTCATTAATACATATACAGTCGTCCTCAGATGTATTCACACCCTCCCATTAAAGAAGGAAAACAACAGCTTCAGTCACAGTTGAAACTGACAATAGTAATAATAAATAAAAATGTCATGAACATCATGACGTTGCTTTGGAATTGTGGTTCAACAGAAATATTAAAAAACAAAACAAACAAACAAACAAACAAACAAAAAACAAGCATGATGGGACCCGTAAACTAACATGTAGCTGAACAACCCTCTGAGCCAATCACTGCCATCAGGTGTTTCCTGTAACTCTCAGTCAGACTTGTGCACCTGTTGACAGGTGTTCTGGTTCACTGCTCATCAGCAAAGGCCTCTCATTTGTCTGGGACAGTTTTGTTTTTTTTTAATTATTCTTTTCAACCACAATTCAAAAGCAACATCTCATTTCACCAAATTATAATTCAGCAAATTTTTATTTATTATTGCTTTTTTCAGTTTGTAGATATTTGAGTGACTATTTGAGTGAATACATTTGAGGACGACTGTACTTTATATAGGAGACTCTTGAGCGACCTCTACTGTACAACTAGTGAAACAGTAAGTTGGGCCAACAATCCCAAAGTTTTCATTGTCGTATTTAAATGCAGAGGTAACAGCTTCAGTGCTTTAAGCTTACTGTGTTTCATCACGTTTATTCTACCTGATGCCACTGACCTACAGCCTCATACTTTGATGAACACATGAGTTTACTGGCTTGTATGATGTTCTGTAGGTTCTGTGGATCTATTCATGTCGGTGTCGGTGTGGTTACCTGGCAGCGCAGCAGCCATGGGACTCGGTTTCTTTATGCTGGTGGACTTCTGTGCGATCTGTTCCAGTTTCTCTGCGACCTGATTGTAGAACTCAGGAGGATGGTCTGAATCAACACATAACACAATGTTGTTAGTTTGACATAAGATCTGATCTCTACCCTTTACTGAGGTGATGCTAACTTGAATCATTTGACACCAGGCAATATTAAAAAGGAGCCTCGTTCAGCAGCGTTAAACGAACGACTACAGCCGGTTTGTTTGGTTTCATGCTGGAGTTGAGGAACTTACTGGGAGAGACGATGTCTGGTGGCGGCTCTGCTCCTCTATCTATCGCTAAAGTAGAGGGCCTCTGAGGATGAGACACATTCTCCTCCTTGTTCTTCTCCTTCTCCAACTTTAACTTGAAGAACTTGGAGAGCCTTTTCCTAATCTTGTGGTTCAGCTTCTTCTGCGGTTTCTTCTCACCGTCTTCTTCTTCGGATGAAGACGATGGAGATATGACGTCATCCTGTGGAAACAGGGTTTTTCTCTCAGCATTAAGGCTGCAGATCTGTTAGATATTCAGCTCTGACTACTGCATTAACACCACATTTATTAAATGACCAACTAAACTCTTCCCGGTAATCTGGAGACAGTCACTTTAGGATGTTTGACATTATATTGCGGCTGCACAGGTGAGACGTAAAATCACTTAACATGCTTCAGGAGTGTTTTGATCTTCCTATCAGTCAAGAATCCGATCATGAAAATTCCTCTTTTGTCCAACACAGCAGATTACAGATCTACTGACCTTTACAGGTCGGCGGTCCAGAGGAGGACGGAACCAGTCGGTGTTTTTAAAAGACGTTTTGTGATGCAAAGTTCTCATTGAATGCTGCGGAAATAAAACTGTCCCTTTGAGTCTGATGGAAGCTACCTCAGGTTTTCTCTCTCTTTGATACAATAAATACAATAAAAAATGTGTTCAGCTGCAGGATGTTGGAGGTTTTCTTCATGCGCTGCTGCTTCAGCACCACCAGTGATATTTCATTGTGATTAAAATCTGGGTGTTGCTTCTGAAATCCTCCATTTATTCTGTCTGAGTGCACTTAGGCTTCTTATCTCACTGAAAGATCAACTTTCAGACAGATGATCTTCTGATACGACTTCATAGTTGGTAGTTTCTTCCTTTGTCTCTTACTAAACAACCAACTCCCTCTCCAGAGTACATTATTTCAAAAGTCCTGACAAACTCTTGCTATGCACTAATGTTATTCAGACAGCAGAGGCCTTTTCCTTCCATGCAGGTCAAACTTATACGATCTCTTTGTGGCTGCAGACGCAGCACTTTGACGCCAACAGGTGCAGATTTACCTGCAGATGCTGTGATGATATTTGGGGGGTTTTGGAGACGTCAGATGTGTTGCATTTGAGACAGAACTCTTTGGATCTTGGCTGATAAACAGTTCAGCAGCTAAAACAACAGACCCCCGATGCTGCAGGTTTAGATAGTACACGTTGCTGCGTTCTAATCTCATTGATCTGGAGGGGTGATGAAGTGCTTGATCCGGTTTTAATGTATTCGTTTAAATAATGATAATCACCTTTCTGTGGAGGCACCTGCGTTTGTTCAAATATGTTGAGATTCAGCAGTTTTGCTCAGATGCCAACGTCATCACTGCTGTACTGGTCTGATGCTTCATACTGGACCACCAAACTTAAACAGGAACAAAAGACCTCATTCTGTTCTAACGAAGCACCACAGCTCCTTACTTCTGCCGGGTCCTTGGGGTGTTTCGCCTTGTTGCTTCTGTCCAGGGAGCCTCTGGGGTCTTTGGCGTGACGCCGTGCAGTGTTTCTACGAGGCAGCTGCTTGATGAAGTCCTTAAATCCAATCTTCTTCTCGTCCGCAGAGCTGACGTCTTCCTGAGAATCCCTGTCATCCTTCGGCCGTGGTTGTGGCTTGTGGCTGGAAGGGAATGAACCAAAGTGAAGAACAAGCGACACAATTTCAATTAGTCTCAAGTCTTGATTTACTCTGACTTTTCTTCTTCTGTGTTGTAGAAATGTGAGACGTCTGCTATATCCCAGACACGAACCCATACGACGAGTGGGCATCTTGGAACCGAAGGAATAACTATTTAGGGCGCCGAAACAACCGGTACTGTTTATCGAGGAGAGTCTTTAAAACGTTTATTATTGAGGCCCAAACATTCAGTCGGTGGCTCCAAAAACTGCGTCTAACTATTCACGTTTTTGGTTACAGAGAAAGAAGAAGTCTCAGACACCAAACGGATGGAAAACATCTCCACATACTTAGAATGAATGAAACCTGGATGCGGCTCTGCACTGACAAACTGAGACAGATCAACAAAATAAAAGGTGGTTCAAATCTGGAAATGAGATGTTTTCTGACATCCAGACGGAGGTAAATGGAGACAAGTGTGCTGTTGAGATTAGAACAGAACAGAGAGGTGTGTCCTATCACCTGTACTTGTTGTAGTCGTTGTAGGCTCCGCCCACCTGGCCAGGTCGCTCTTTGGGGGGAACCGAAAGAGTCCGATGGAGGAAAGCTTGGAGCACCAGATGAGTATCGGCCTTGATCTCCACCAGAGAGATGGAGGAGATGGAGGAGACGGAGCAGCGTCCTGCAGGCTCTGACATCTCTACCAGGAGCTGAGCTGGAGGCAGGTCACAAACAATGAGCTTTCTTCGTCTACTTCAGGACAGAGATGAAAACAGAGTATAGCAGGGATCTTCCTCTGGCCGTAGCGATCGGGAAGTTTATAGACCAAGAATGGAACAACTGTGTTAGTTATAGACAACCATCAACACTTAGAGTATAAAAGGAAGTTTACAGACCAAGAATAGAACGGCTCGTCCAACGTCCCATTTCTACACTACGCTTTTAAGCAACTCTTTCTTTCCCACTACTCATAAAATAAGTCAATGTACTGTGAAAAACGCTAAAAGTCTTGAAAGAGTTCGTCAATGTGACTACTACAGACGCACCAAAGAATGGAATTACAGGTTCAAATATGAAACCAGGGGGTAGAGCTCCTCTTTCAATCCTAATAACATGATTTAAACTAATGACCAGTTTAAATCATGTTATGGGAAAATATTCAGATTTTAGAGGAAAAAAGTTCTAATGAATGAAAACGGTCAGGTGTTACACTGCAAACACAGCTGATGACGTGAAACTACAGGTTTAAATTCTGCTCATCATTTCTGAAAATAAAGATAAAATAGCACACTTGTATTATTTCTGCTGTTTGTTCTGCAAAAGCGCACCCATTGGTTGATCGTACAGATGAACAGCTGTGACTATCACCTGCAAAACTATCAAACAATCAGTGCAAAGTGTGGTCATATGGGTCTTTAAATGTGTAGAGAGGAAAAACCTTTTTGCAAATAAATCAATCAGCAATCTTGGGTCTATGGATAAGTCTATAATAAGTCTCCCGTCAGCAGGTCGGAGTGACATTAGATGGAAATGTGAGACAAACCAACGTACCTGGACCATCCAGTCAGTCAGCATTCTTTCTCCGGAGACCTTCTGCTGTAACCTGGAACACAAACAAACAAAATCACTGAAACACTCAACAGCTGAGTTCAGCAATAAACTCACAACAATAGAAACAAACACAGCAGGATCATTTACAAGTGATTTATCCTGCAAAGAAGGAAACTCTGCAGGTTCAAGTGAAGGAAATTGACTTAAACAAAGGGTAGCGTTTGATATTGATCGTTGTTGTTGAATACATTGATTATGTCTTTGAACCTTCTGTATGTCCATTTATGGCTTCAATCAACTATCATCAGCTAGAATGCTCTGCTGTACCTCTCTGTCAGTCTTCTGTGGTGTAGAATCGTCTGCTGCAGCTCTCTGTTAATCCGCTGTAAGGAGAAGAAAACACTTATTTGTTTGCATTTCTTTAAAACAATCACAGTTGTCTTGGGGGGGCCTCGCAGCTAGAAAGTCGTTGGTTCGCATCCCCGTGAGAACACTTGGGATCTTTCTGCGTGGAGTCTCCATGTTCTCCCCGTGCAGCGTGGGTTCTCTCCAGGTTGGATGTGGAGGTGTGAATGTGAGTGTGCTTGGTTGTCTGTCTCTAAGTGTAGCCCTGTGATAGACTGGTTACCTGTCCAGGTGAACCTGCCTTCACCCTGAGTCAGCTGGGATAGACTCCAGCCCCCCATGACCCTAGTGAGGATTAGGCAGTGTATAGATAATGGATGGATGGATGGACAGTTGTCTTGGGTAAGTGAAGGGTGCAGCTTCAGCGTTCCCTTTAAAACAGTGATGGTGGAACGTTGGTGCTCAGGGAGACGAGCTCTGCTTGTAGAAGTAAATAACAGCAGAGTCAGAATCCAGAATCCTCAGAAAAAAGGGGAATTTTTAGTGTGTCGCTGCCCCGAAGGTTGCAGTTTCCTTCATCCATCCATCCATCCATTATCTATACACCGCTTAATCCTCACTAGGGTCATGGGGGGCTGGAGTCTATCCCAGCTGACTCAGGGTGAAGGCAGGTTCACCTGGACAGGTAACCAGTCTATCACAGGGCTACACTTAGAGACAGACAACCAAGCACACTCACATTCACACCTACGGACAATTTACAATCACCAATTAACCTCAGCATGTTTGTGGACTGTGGGAGGAAGCCGGAGAACCCAGAGAGAACCCACGCTGCACGGGGAGAACATGGAGACTCCACGCAGAAAGATTCCGGTGATTCCGGGCAACCTTCTTGCTGCAAGGCAACAGTGCTACCAACTGCGCCACCCTGCAGCCCCAGTTTCCTTCAGTAAAGCTGATTTTAAAACAGTAACATGCAGACAGAGGAAGATGGAGCCAAATGCCGGGTTTACAGCCGCAGCCACCTGCAGCGAGTCGGACTAAAGCTTTGCTATATATGAATAATTGAACAAACTGACATAAGCCTGACAGACTTCTCGCTGTAACAGATGATTGTCTGTGATGTTCAGTACTAATTAATCAGAGTGAGAAAAGTCTACAATGTTCTAATTTACCTGGTGCACATAGTGTAATGTTGGTAGTCACAGATTTGATCGTGGTAACTACAACTGACATCACAAAACTGATAATATTCTAGAAACATTTATTCTTTGCATCATGAATGTTTCATACTGTTGGCTGGAGATGGTGAACTTTATATTAAATGAACAATGAAAACAGTTTTATAGGCAGATGGAAAAATGTTTCGTGTATTTACTTAATTTCAATGAATATCCATTCATCAGCTGTTAACTTGGTTGAGGAAAATGATTACATTTGCCTTCCTAGCATTTATTTAAATTCTTTTTTTAAGGGTAAATTTGTACAGTATATGGCAGGTTCTTCACGTTAATATTTAGATTAGTCAGGTACATTTTTTTTTAAGTTAATCATATTTCTCATTTGTTTTAAACATGCTCAGTGTATTTAATTTGATTGTTTTGTTTGTAAAGCACTTTGCAGCTGTTTCATAGAAGCTAATCAAGTTATAATACAAATAATAAAATCTTTGTCCCTATAATAATAAT